CAGCAGTAGTAATAAGTCACAGATGGTGGTGGTAGTCAGCAATAGCAGTAAGTCACAGATGGTGGTGGTAGTTAGCAGTAGCAGTAAGTCACAGATGGCGGTGGTAGTTAGCAGTAGCAGTAAGTCACAGATGGCGGTGGTAGTCAACAGTAGTAATAAGTCACAATTGGTGGTGGTAGTTAGCAGTGGCAGTAAGACACATCTTCGCGTCCTGAAAATCGGCACGTTGGGCAATAAAAAAAAAGCGTGCGAAGCTGCAAACCGGTTTCCCTCATAACTGTTGTAGCAACAAAAAAGTTTGGTGGCATCACGACGTAGCAGTACGACCACTACTTCTACTGCGCACACCGCGCAGGGAGACTAATAACTTTAGGGTACGTCGCGGCCACGTTACCGTATCGCTGTGCCGCTGAGACTCGCTCAGCTGCGCGTCTCAAGAAAGTAGTTCATTGCCGACCGCTCAGGAACCGCGCTGTAACAGCGGGCGCGTTCGTTCCGCGTTATAACAGGCGGGGGCGTTCTGCGTTATAACAGGCGGGGGCGTTCTGTGTTATAACAGGCGGGGGCGTTCTGTGTTATAACAGGCGGGGGCGTTCTGTGTTATAACAGGCGGGGGGCGTTCTGTGTTATAACAGGCGGGGGCGGTCTGTGTTATAACAGGCGGGGGCGTTCTGTGTTATAACAGGCGGGGGCGTTCTATGTTATAACAGGCGGGGGGCGTTCTGTGTTACAACAGGCGGGGGGCGTTCTGTGTTACAACAGGCGGGGGCGTTCTGTGTTATAACAGGCGAGGGCGTTCTGTGTTATAACAGGCGAGGGCGTTCTGTGTTATAACAGGCGGGGGCGTTCTGTGTTATAACAGGCGGGGGGGGCGTTCTGCGTTATAACAGGCGGGGGGCGTTCTGTGTTATAACAGGCGGGGGCGTTCTGTGTTACAACAGGCGGGGGCGTTCTGTGTTATAACAGGCGGGGGCGTTCTGTGTTATAACAGGCGGGGGCGTTCTGTGTTACAACAGGCGGGGGCGTTCTGTGTTACAACAGGCGGGGGCGTTCTGTGTTATAACAGGCGAGGGCGTTCTGTGTTATAACAGGCGAGGGCGTTCTGTGTTATAACAGGCGGGGGCGTTCTGTGTTATAACAGGCGGGGGCGTTCTGTGTTACAACAGGCGGGGACGTTCCACGTTACAACAGGCGGGGGCGTTCCACGTTACAACAGGCGGGGGCGTTCTGTGTTACAACAGGCGGGGGCGTTCTGTGTTATAACAGGCGGGGGCGTTCCACGTTACAACAGGCGGGGGCGTTCTGTGTTATAACAGGCGAGGGCGTTCTGTGTTATAACAGGCGAGGGGCGTTCTGTGTTATAACAGGCAGGGGGCGTTCTGTGTTATAACAGGCAGGGGGGCGTTCTGTGTTATAACAGGCGGGGGGCGTTCTGTGTTATAACAGGCGGGGGGGGCGTTCTGTGTTATAACAGGCGGGGGGCGTTCTGTGTTATAACAGGCGGGGGGGGCGTTCTGTGTATATAACGGTGCGGGCATTCCGCGGTGTGTGAACAGTAACAGTTCAAACATTCCCCCACTGAGGCGTTCCCCCCCCCGTACCCCCCCCCGTACCGCCCCCCCCCGCCCCCCCCCCCCACGAAATCATTCCACTGGCGGTTGTCTTTCATTGGATGGTTGGGCGGGTGGGGTGGCGGTCGTTTGGGCAAGCGAAATGGTTAACAACGCCGTGACAAAAGAAACCCCCCCCCCCCTCAAGTACGAAGTTTAAACAAATTCAAGCTGAACTCGGGCACGGCGCTTACGCGCGTCCATCTCAAAGCTGAGACACGCAGACAAACGGCGAACGATCCCCCCCCCCTCCCCCCAACCCCGCGTGTAACCTGCATGGCCCGTCGGGGCGAGTGCTGGGCTTGGCGAGCACTCGCCAAGCCCAGCACCGCTCGACGACAAGGGGGGCGGCCAGGAAGGTTACGAGGGCGGCGTGACCCATGACCCATGACCCATGACCCATGACCCACGCGCCCGCACGCCGACGATGGCGCGAGCCGTTATCAGTAACCAGAGCTGCCCGCCCCCCACACACACGCTCCACCACCCCCGCCAAGACTAATTGCCCCCCATCCTCTCTCTCGACCGCTCGTTATCTCCCAGACGGAAGCCCATGGTTTGGTCGGAGGCTCTCCGGTTACCCAGGGCGGCTGTGGAGGCGCGGAAGGGACGCACGAGAGAGCGCGCGCGGGCGTCTGCGTGTACGCGCGGGAGCCCTTGATCGATCCACTGCTAGATGAAGGCCCCCCGGTCTCCCCCAAGACACGTGGAAAAAGAGCTCAGCTGGCCGAACGTCTCATGGCGAAGCCTCCCCAAAACGCTTATCGTGGCGCCCATGAGTAGTTTGGCCGCTGCTATAAAAATGTCCACGTGATGACGATAACCACGATGATGGTGATAAGCCACTTTGCCGAGCTCTCATTTGCGATGGCCAGGCCGCTTCTGAAAAAATAGCTACACAGCTCAGTGGGGCCTTACCTGGGACGTAAAAAATAGGTACATCTCAGTTTAGTCTGTGGATCTCTATGTATCTCTGTGGGGTGGGTTTCTATTCATTTCTGTGTATCTCTACGGGCCTCTCTATGTGTGCCCTTATGCGTTTAGAGCAGGGGTGGGGAATGTCCGGCCTGCGGGCCGCACGAGGCCCCGCGAAATCGTTTGGTGTGGCCCTGCCAGGGCAACCGCAGGCGGGACTCAAAATTCAATAAATCTAGGAGAGCAAAACCTGGAAAAGCAGTTTGCGAGTAGCAGCGACATCGTCAATACCAAGCTAACATCATCACCACGACCTCGCCAAAGAGAAGCAGCTCCAACCCATCGCATTAGGGGTGGGGTTAATTCAATGTTTGACCAAACATAACAGGCAAGTTGATAATTTTGCATGGCCCGCGAATGATGCTATGAATATCCAAATGGCCCTTGGCAGAAAAAAAGGTTCCCCACCCCCTGGTTTAGAGTATTTCGCTGCTGATATAAATTTCCGCGTGACGATGGTGATAAGCCACTTGGTTGAGCTGCTATCATTTGCGATGTCGCTTCTTCAAACAGAGTTACAGAGCAGCTCAGCGGGCTGAACGTTACTGCCCTTTTAAAGGGGGGGGGGGGGGGGGGGGGGCGGTTTAAAGTTGCGGGTGGTGACGGCCACCTCGGAAGAGTAGGCCCAATACGCGCCCACTCTGGCGGTGCTACGAGAGGATCGCCGGCGATAGCCGGCGGTCGGCATCGGCGTGCCCGCTAAGTTCGGCACCCGGAAAGTATCACCAATCGCACTCGAATACAAACGTCCATTTTTAAAAAAAGGCTACGGAGATAACAATAGTAACAAAAAATCGATACGTACGTGCGTGCGTGCGTGCGTTCGTGTATAAAAAAATAAGTTTAAGAAAGGAACTAAAAAAATTATTCAGCGGACGGAGGGCGTCTGTAGGTATGAGGCGAGTGAGTGGGGGCACACGTGAGCAGGGGGGGGAGGGGGGGGGCGTCTGGTGACATTCATTGAGATCGGCGAGCCGCAGCGAGATCTCCATTCACTCTCGAAGAGTTCCGTTCACTTTCATAGAGAAGTCCTCATTCACTCTCTCGTAGAGTTCCGTTCGCTTTCATAGAGACGTCTCCACTAACCCCCTCGTAGAGCTCCGTTCACTTTCATAGAGACCCTTTTTCCACAGCGACCTTTGCCCGTCGCTCACCTCTGGGTGAACTATCTTGCTAAGGCGATGAAAGGCGCGGCGACGCAAGTAACAGCCAGAGGTCATCAGCGGTCGCAGCATCATCGACGCCCTGAACCTCGATGACCCCCTGACCTTTTATCTCGCAACACCCGTCTTGCCTCCCCCTCCCCCCACCGATGGCTGACCAATCGCTCGCTCGATCACTCGCTCGTTATCTCCCTCTCTGTCTCTCTCCCCCGTCTCTCTCCGTCTCTCCCCCCTCTCCGTCTCCCTCTTTCTCTCTCTCCACCGTCTTTTCCGTCTCTCTCCGTCTCTCTCTCCATCTCTATCCCCTCTCCCTCCGTCTCTCCCCCCTCTCCGTCTCTCTCCCCCTCTCTCTCCCCTCTCCGTCTCTCTCTCTCTCCTGTCTTCCTTGTCTATCCCCGTCTTTCCGTCTCTCTCCCACCTCTCTCCGTCTCTCCCCCCTCTCTGTCTCTCCCCCCTCTCCGTCTCTATCCCATCTCTCTCCGTCTCTCCCTCCTTTCCGTCTCTCTCCCCTCGCTCTCCCCTCTCTGTCTCTCTCTCTCTCCTGTCTCCTTTGTCTCTCCCTGTCTCTCCGTCTTTCTCCCATCTCGCTCCGTCTCTCCCCCCCCCCCCTCTCCGTCTCTCTGTCTCTCTCCCATCTCTCCCCTCTCTCTCCATCTGTCTCCCCCCTCTCCGTATCCCTCTCTCTCTCTCCACCGTCTTTCCCGTCTCTCTCCTGTCTCCTTCTGTCTCTCCGTCTTTCTCCCATCTCGCTCCGTCTCTCCCCCCTCTCCATCTCTCTCCCTTCTCTCTCCGTCTCTCTCCCTTCTCTCTCCGTCTCTCTCCCATCTCTCCCCTCTCTCTCCATCTCTATCTCATCTCTCTCCCATCTCTCTTCATCTCTCTCCCCTCTCTCTCCATCTCTCTCCATCTCTCTCCCATCTCTCTCCGTCTCTCTCCCATCTCTCCCCTCTCTCTCCGCCTGTCTCCCCCCTCTCCGTCTCCCTCTCTCTCTCTCTCCACCGTCTTTCCCGTCTCTCTCTCTCTCTCCTGTCTCCTTCTGTCTCTCCGTCTTTCTCCCATCTCTCTCCGTCTCTCCCCCCTCTCCTTTCTCTCTCCGTCTCTCTCCCATCTCTCCCATCTCTCTCTCCGCCGGTCTCCCCCCTCTCCGTCTCTCCCACCCCGCCTCCCTGTCTCGCCCCCCCCCCCCCCCCCCCACACATCCCTCAGCCTTCGACTCTTCCCCCCACCCCACCCTCCCCCCCCACCACCACCGCCACCTCTCTCCACCGCGGTCACTCGGGCCGCTCCAGCCTCTCGCGCACGTCCGCGGGCAGCGCGTCGTACACCTCCTGCTCCACCACGAGGCCCGACCGCCGCAGCGACGCGCACTCCCGCAGCTCGGCCGGCAGCGCCTCGAGCGGGTTGCCGCGCAGCTCCAGCGTCGCGAGCGCCGCCAGCGACGCCACCTTGGGCGACAGCGTCGTCAGGGCGTTGCCGCCGAGCCTGAGCGTCTTGAGCTTGCGGCAGAAGAACAGCTCCTCGGGCAGGGACTCCACCTTGTTGCCCGCGAGCGACAAAAAGAGGAGGCTCTGCAGGACGCCCACCTCGGGCGGCACGAAGCGGATCTCGTTGTGCGCCAGGTCGAGGTGGCGCAGCTTGTTGCACAGGAAGAGGTGCGAGGGGAGCACGCCGATGCGGTTCCGCGTCAGGTAGAGGCGCTCCAGGTGGCCGAGCCGCTTGATGTGCTCCGGGATGGTCGCGATGTGGTTGTGCCACAGCTTGAGCGTCGTCAGCTTGTGCAGGTGCTGGAAGCTGAGGATCTCCTCGATCGAGCGCAGGCTGTTGTCGCGTAGGTCCAGGTCCTTGTGGTGGCGGGGGGGGCGGCAGGGGGGGGCAGGGGGATGTTTAGCAATCATCAGGCAAGTGCGGTGCATGACAGCCGAACGGGCTGTTTTGAAATTACCACCATCACTATTATCCTCCCTCCCTCTACCACCACCACCATCACCA